ATAAGTAGCATGCGATATGAAACATTTAATAGTGCAATGATGATATTGATGAGTTATAACTATGAAGCATGTCCAGTGTATAAATGAAGATGACGGTAAGCGAATAAGTTTCTCATGAAGAAATTTCTAGATGTGTAGGAACAATCTTAATCACCAGTGGCACAATTCAAACAATCTTGCGACAAAGATGAAAATCTGACACTTCTTTAATTTTTGATCAATAAATATATTTATTTTTTCCTTACTATCTTTTAGAAACTTTACGTAATAGAAACATTAAATTTTTTGGTGGTTTACTATAGCTTTTATACATGTACTTGTTGAGGAATGGGGACATTTTCATCTTAGTTGTAATATTGTTTTGTGAAAAAGGCCACAGTTAGATTTTTTGTAATCTAAATGGAGGTTCACGTAATAAAATTAACGATTGTTCTTGCACATCTGAAGTTGATGTTTATTATCATTGACGGGCAACAATTGTCACTTTCTTCTGAAAAGACAGAAATCGAACTGAATTAAATACTTCAGTCATGTTGTCTCAATTTTACATGTATATAAAGTAATGCCTTATTATACCCCCTGCTTGAAAAGCGGGAGGATATATAGTAATCGGGATGTCCGTCTGTCTATTACGCTTCTGGGGTACCTATCTCTTATCCGCAACACTTCTCATCCCACTGCCTAAAATTTGATGAGACTTTAACAGAATCAGGACAAGGAGAAGCCAGAGCTTAACAATATACCGGAAAGCATGGGACGTGTGTACAAAATGGTTTTCCAATAGATTCGGGAGGTCCTTTACCATGGATACAGAACCAGGGAATTCTTCTCAGTGGTACTGATGACTGTTCCTTTTGCAAAATTCATCAAAACATGACGCTGATAAAGAAAATAAAGATAAAGTAGAGGAGGGATTCTGTGAACACTGTGCTCACTAAATAATACCGCAAACAACCATATGATCATAGTGGCAAAGTCAATGTTTTGCTCTGGGAGACCCAAATTAGATACGGTACCACATCAGAAGATAAAAGTGAATGTGCACAATGGCATTACCTAATGAAAAATCTGTAAAGGAATCATTTAATTTCTTCGATGATATAGGTGTATTCGCAAATAAGAGATTGGTACCTTCAGTATTATAGAAAGAATGACAGTGTCTATTATTTACTATGGGAAACCAAAAAAGTGTGTCGGATCAAAAAGTAAAATAGAGGTCACAATGGCACTTTATCAGAAAGATTTTCTGAAAGTCTCATTAAATTTCATTGAATAGTACATTTGTAAAAGATTTTTGCTGGTGGAGAGCTGCAAATTTTGTCCTATACTCGGCACTCAGGGCCATTGAGCAGGGAGGGTTCCTTTCGTGCCAGCACCTACCTAGATACGGGATCTCGGTCTCATCTGAAGGACCTGTCTCTACCTCCGACAGTGGGATTTGAACCCACGACGGAAAGAACAACACCTTACTCCGCGACACTTGAGCAGGCGATCTAACCACTGTGTTATGTATAATAGGAGTTGTGGATAAGAGGGGATACCTCAGAGTGTAACAGACGGTCTGAAATATTAGATAATCACGGCTCTTAGGGTCACTGGAAAGTGATCTTTTATGAACCAGCATCTGCTGTAATACGGTTTCATCAATGGACCGGTACATATATCTAAAACCCGCTACAAAAGGATCAACTCCTTACTCTACAATTCTATAACAGCATAATGTTTTACCCTCTCTAATAAATACAACATTTCATTACTTTACCTTCACGTTTCTAGTAAGGACTGACAAGTAATAAAATTTTTTGGTACCTACAGGTAACACTGGAACAAAGAAAAAAAACAATACAGGTAAATGAACAACAGTAATGCTTTAATGAAGTATAACAAAGATTTCGAAGACAACATTTTAACATGAGCAATATGGCAAAATAGCAACTCGTATTGATACTTTTTAATTAAAAAAAACACATCTACTTTAACACTTTTTATTACATGTATTGAAAACTACAATGACTGGTAAACTTAACTTAAAAAACCAAATTCTTCATAACAATGACAAACGATTTCTTTAACACGTATATAATATAGATTTTGATCGATTGAAAATGTGTAAATGAATGCCTTTTTTCTGCTTGGACTTCCATGTAAGCTCTGTTTTGACAGTAATTTAATGATTTCCAGAAGAGTGCCAACTGTGATGTAAAATGTAATTTACCCCAGAAGATCCTCTTTATTATTGAAAAAAATAAACTTATATCAATGCAATATAGTTGCTATCGAAGCACAATCAATTTTAATTTCACAAGTTTTTCAGTATGTTAAAAAGGAGTGTTGTCATCAGATTAACTATGTGGATATAACGAATAGCATTTGAACTCAAAAACAAATTAAACATTTCAAAATCGGAGAAGAGCAAACATGGACCTCCATAATTTCAGTGTTGGGATCAGGTGCAATATAGGAATGATCATTTCATATTTAATGATCACTTTTCGGCACATAAGCATTGTTTTTTACATTTATAATTATTTAATAACGCTACATTAATCATTCAAACAAGACTGACATAACACTTATAAAAACAAATTGACGCCTTATGTTTTATATTTATTATCGAATTTATACTTGTTTTTTGTTGTTGTTTTTTCTTTTTTTTTCCCTTTTTTTTGTTGTTTTTTTTTTTTGTTTTTTTTTTTTGTCCAGAGATAATTCTGTGTTAAATACAACAACAATTAACATCGAACATAATCACATACTCTTACGAAAATGAGAAGATGCCGCTGTGATTTTGACTTTCGATTAATTAAGTTTCAGTAATTTCCTCTTCTTTTACACTTTGTGACATAGATTTGAGATTCTTAGGAAATCCGAATGCTAGGTATATAAATAAGCCTTGACCGCCAATAAAAAGCGTATGCAATATAGAAAATAATTGTATTTCAGTGAACTGGGCCAGGAAGCCGAACAACCAGGCCAAACCAACGATGGTAGAAAGCCGGAAGTACGAAGCTAATCTACTTTTATCCTTTGACTTTCGGATGTCGGCCTTGACACAGATCCTAGATAAGGTCACCAGAAACATAAAAGAATTGATACAGATGAATAAACCAACCGGAAGTGTAAAAGTAAAGAGGGTCATGTTTAGGTCAGCTATGTAGCACGTACGAGGGGAATAGCCAAGACTCTCCCATTCACTTTGGACAGAGCTTACAATGACATTGACAGTAACTATTGCCAAACATAAAAGCCCATTAATCAGTAGGGAACAAAATACCCGTGAAATACCTTTCTTCTGTACAGTTGAAATAGTCGTAAACGATTGAAAGATTTGAAAGGTAGATAAACTCATCCAACATATGACACAGAGCCAGAGAAAATGAACCAGCATGCCGATCCCGATGCAAAATGACTCATTCCAAAGAAAAAACTTTGAGAAAGTGTACCCAGTGTTTGCCAAAATCGACAATACAGCTAAAGTTATGATGTTCATATCTGCGACAGATCTGTGGGATTTAGTGAGAAAAAACCTAAGTATTGTAACCAGAGAAGCAATGGAAGAAAGAGAGAGACAGACAAGAGTAAAATATTTCATTATGCGGTCTTCTGCAAATCCCCTTTGATTGTTTTCCTGGCTGATAACTTTAAGATACTGGTCGAGACATATTTCTACACTGCGCTTATCTTGAGCCTCTTTGAACTGATTTGATGAGAAGCAAGCTTGATAGTCTACAAGACATACAGAGAAATTCGACATATCTATTTTGGCGTCTCTTGTATTCACTTTTACTTTAGGACAGCGATACCAGTCCGCTACAACAACCACTATGTCATTTTGGAAACATAAAGGTCGCTTGGGGTCATACTCATAATAGTTTAGTTCTGCTGAACCATTATATAAAAGCATTTTATCTAGACTCATTGGGTTTACGTAGAAACGGTTACGAATATTTGTACCAAATAAAGAATTGCCGTGCATATGAAATCTTTGCCCAACGACAGAAAGAGTGACGTTAACTTCGCGCTTCAAAGATGCTAGAGATATTGCCATATTCTGTATAGAAAAGGCATTCATCAGCTTCTGTATCATTAAGTCCACATTTTGAAAACGGTCAACTGACAGTTCAAGAACAACTGCCAAGAAATCTGTTTTAAACGAAGACAAAATTGAAATCCGACAGAGATTATCAGACAAATAACGTCTGGATATGATGTTTGCTAGAGCCGCTTCAACATCCGATAAATGATATTCCCAGTTAATGATATTGGAATCCTCTATTGAAGTGATCATTAAATTTAACTCATAGTTGTTTTTCCCAAGAATTGGATAGCGAAGTTTGCAGGTTGAGTTGTTGTAGATGTACTCTGTTTCACATTCAATGTCCAGGCATTTGGACTGAAACAGATTTAGAAAGAAAGAAATAAAAATTATGTGGAATTAGACTTCAAATAACGAATAAAACACTTCTACTGTAAAACAAAAGAGCTTTTAGACGATTGTAGGTGTTTATTTCTTTTTATCAAGAGGGAATTAAAAAAAAAGATCAAATCAGTAAAATAAAACATCAAATTTGACGTTTTATTGTCAAAAGATATTTTGTATGCCAACTTTGGTTACTTCATACACAATGGTAGATAAAAGGAGCAAAGTATTGACCCACAGTAACCATTGACCCTGGGGTCACATATTTCACAATTTTCGTAAAGGCATCTTCACCATAAATGGTTGATAAATACAAAAGAGCAGATTTAAGAGTATTAATTCGTTTTCAGATAATGCAACGCCCCACTTTACCCCATTTTTGATGAAGCGTCTTTCTTCATCATCAATATGTACAAAGATCAATGGCAATATACCTAGGAGCAAAGTACCCTCCTAAGTCATCAGTAAGTACATAAAATATTGTTTTAATACCCAGGAGAAGAGATGTTTTTTAAAGAATTTATTCATTTTGACTATACAATAAACAGAGACCCATCCTTATACAAGAACCCCTGACCGAATGGCCATGATGTTCGGAATTTTGGAAGAGGGACCCTTTTTCATCTTAAATATCTACAAAGTCAATAAGCTTAACACCCTGGAACCGAGGTAAATATCTATTTTAAGAAAATGATACATTTCCATCATATTTTCCACAGAGTCTCACCCTATCTCTATAACCCCTGACCCTGAGACAATGATTTTCACATTTTTTGGTAGAGGGCTTAATGCTGATTACTATCATGGCAACAATTTGACTAATTGTTGTTTTGTAGTAAAGATTTTAAATATTTCATTAATTTAAGTGGTTTTGTTCCCATCCATCAGCCCCGGGAGGCAAAGACAATTACATTTGTAAATTCACAATTTTTGTTTCCCTTCACCCACGGGTGTTATATGCCGAAATCGGTTGAAATTGGTTGAACGATTTTAAAAAAGCAGCTGAAGATATTGAAAATGTTAGTGCTCCACGAACAAAGCGCGACGCACGACGAGGGATAGAACAGGTAGCAATAGAGTGCACGACTTAGGTATTTTCCCTAAATATTAAGACATGTTTCAAAACTTTGAACTGATGTTGTACTAATGAACTTTGTAAGTAAATCTAAAGTACAAGTATTGCCAAAAAAAAATAAATGAAAAATAAATAGACATACCATCTTATTGTCAAATACTTGATTTGATCCGCAATTGTGGTTCTTTGTGGGGATTTCATTTTTATTTTGTTTGGAATCCATGAGAGCCGAAAAAGTTTGAGGCATGTACGTCATGGAACCATATCCACTGTACTCATTCTGAATTGTAAGGTCAGAAACCTCTCTATCACACAGGGCACAATATATGTTTCTATAAACCATATTTGAAGTCGTGTAGGGTAAGTGGTATTTCTGGCAAGAGTCAATGAGTAGAGCTTTTGTTTCTTCCGTTAGATTGAGCATATTGTTGCAAGTAAGATTAACCTGAGCTGTGTAGGATATACAGGGATTAATTATCTCTCGGACTGATATGGGGGGATGGAAAGCAATGTTGCAGACTGGAGAGTCGCCTGAAAACACAAATTGGTAAAGAATTTCAAATTTGTCATTTGAAAAAAGTGCTGATCGATTAAGGCAAATTTTCCTCATCCACCAAGGAGCCATATCAAAAATAGACTCATTATTGCATAATGCGCACTGAATATTTGGATATGTTTCATTGCTTGACAATGACGTCACTGGCGTAGCATCGGACATATTTCGTAATTCAAATGAGAGACAAGTAGCACCACTTAGACATGTGTCTATCATCCAGAATGCTTTACCAGGACTGATTCCGCTCTTTTTATTCCATAACGCTTCGATGCAAGACAAAGACTGACCCTTTTGTTTTTCCTCTACATTTGGCATGTATTCTATGAAGTCTGGAGTGGTTGCTTGTCTGTAGAATTTAGAAGGACAACAAGTGCCTTTTCTCACACAGGAATCCTCACAATCACATGGCATACAAGACGGATCTAGGATGAAATTGTAGCTCCGTCTAAATTTTTCTCCCAGACACATATCTTGTTCTGGGCATAGCAAAAGGTAATACCAGACTACAGTTTTGGCTTCTGTGTTTTCGATCCATGAGGTTAGTTTATCAGATTCTCTGACGTCGTTAATTGTTGGATATATTAAGGGAGTAGACAAAACACCCTCTAAAGCAACTCCAACTGTTGAAGTTATAAACAAAATGGAGATCTATAAATGATATGAAAATAATGATCATTTACTCAAATTGTCTATTTGCCTTAAATAGTGTTTTTTTTGTCTATGTTTATTACGTAAAATACAATACACCTTTTGCATGAATTACGATTTAAAATAAATATCTTGTCAAATCTTTTCAGGAAGCCTTAATGTTCTCAACAACAACAAAGATTAAGTGCATAATTCTTTAGAACTTTCTGGAATTTCACTTCATTATATAAGGTTTTAGTTTGTGTTACTCGGTTCTTAACGAAACCTACATAACACAAATGTCCCTAAAGACAATAACAAGCATGCCTACGAGGGGTGATCAAAAAGTTCGCGAACAAACTGAAAAACTTCCTTAAAACAAGTAAGATTAGGTTTCGGTGTTCATTATTTTTTAAAGTAGCCCTCTCTGATTTTAATGCATATCTGCCATCGTTCGGCCATGTGCAAATCACGTGATTTAGAAGCAATCTGTTCAAAGACGCAAAAATATTTTCCGAGTCTTATATTTCATATCGTGCAAATTAATTATTATAACAAGAACATTAGAACATTTCATTTGTCAGAAATGACAAAATCTCGGAAATGGAATGATTGTATAGGGATATCCTTTCCCCCCAAAAATCATGGTGACCTTCATAACCCGAAATATCTGTCTTAGGAACGTGCTTTATCCAATATTGATAAAGTTGTAGGTGCTTCTTTTATCATATCCAATATGTTATTAAAAGTCTAAATTTAACGATATTTCAGGGATTTAATAATAACATTATTGTTAAGATGTTCAATCATTTTTCTAGCTGTAACTTGGCAATCTTTACTAACAAAAGGACAAATATCTTCAACAGCTTGCTTTCGCTGGGCTACAAAACAAACGTACTTTTTATCCATCTCCCTCTCTTCACTAAAACAATCTATCCAATTCATTATTGAAGGTCTGGAAAGTCTATTATTTTCATAAACTTTCTTTAAAAAATTGCAACTTAAACGTTGAATTTACAGCCATTCGTTGCTTGAGTAAGACTGTGAGAACCATTTTTCGTCACGGGTCACATACATATTGACGTCATTTTCACATTGTGACGTCACAATGATGATCTAGAGATAGTTCGCGAACTTTTTGATAACAGCAGTATTAGAATTTGAACTATTCTAACAAGATGTTATAATTTTGTTGTATCGTTTTATCTATGGCAACATTAAATTTAATCTGTTTTGGGGGGAAAATAAATTGTTTTTATACTTTGAACGCATACAATTATGAGGACAGAGGTTCTAGTCTCACAACAAAAAAAGCAGATCGACGAGATAACCCTTGAATTTGCTTTAGTTTGTTCAAAGGCATTAGAAATAATATAGGGTGTAGAATCATATGAATAAGATGGTAATAAAGCATATAAAAGTTTTTTGTACGTCTTTTTTCCATAAGGATAGCGAGAGCTGCTTTGCATACGGGGGAACGACTATGATTTTATAAACAAGTTCACAATGGTGATGTGACAGTTACATTATGTTCACGTCAAATCTGAGTTCTGTTTGTCTCCAGTTTCGTTTTCATTATGTTTTAAGTTTCTGTGATCGTTTTCCTATTAAAACAGACCAAAATAAAGATTCTTCCTTCATTTTTTTAATAAAAGCTAAGTCAAAAAAGTAGTTTAAACTGCATGAGAATTCAAACCTTATCTTTAGTTTGTTCTCATCCAATCAAAACACGCGAAATAATTAAATAAAATGATGAATGGAATATTAATATATAATATAATAATAAGTAATTATTTATAGAATACACCTACAACAGACCAAGGGATACTGGACAAACATTTCCTAGTATTCAGGTTACATGTAACTTTCAGAGGCTAGCTAGCATACAGCACCAAGAAGGAATATACTATTAGCTTCTAATAAAATATATATGCATATTTTAATACATTAATGAAACAAATGGAGATAACGAACAGTATTAAAGATCAAACGTCCATAAATCAATACAAAAATAGGAGCAGAGCAAACTCGGACTTCAACACATCGGAGGTGCCTTGAAGGATTGAGCATACCCCACAGGAAAAAACAAGATCTTCAGTTAAAACTAAAAAGTGGTTTTTAGTGAGCCAGTGAATGACATATGGACCGCTCTCTGACAAAACCGGGCTTAATGACATAGGCGTTGACGTCGAGAAAAACCTGTTTATTGTGACGTCAAATTTTCGCGTCTAAAACGCACATGTTCATTTTTCCTTTTTATGTACTTTCCGTTGTTCAGTTCAGCTTTTTTCCAGTAAAATGTATCCAAATTAATACGATTCCGGTCATCATTTTGAATGCTAAATTTGGTTCCTTTGCATTTTAAATATTTTTAAAGATACCTTTGGTAAAGACTTGTAATAATGACTTAAAATATACCACTTTATTTACTGTAACACATTATATGTACAGCGCTGTATATCACGGAGAATATTGAAAATTTTTAGTGAATGCGATTGATATAATTCGAATTAATTAAATAAACTACTGATTGTTTTCCCCTAGGTCAAATTTTCTTTGATAAATAATAATAAACTATATTCAGAAAGAAACAAACAAGTTGTATCTCAAAAAATTATATATACGAAAACACGCCTCTACGGATGCAAAAATTATGATCCACCGAGATACAGACAGAAACGCCATCTACATAAACAATTGCGTTACTAGGCGAAAATAGCGAGTGGATGGCTACTGAAAGATGAAAAATGGACGATGAAATATCAGTTAGTATTTAATGTTCCTTATTGGAAATTTTTGTATTTTTTAAAATGTTTAATTATGTATATATTTTTAATTGATGAGTTCATGTAACATAGCGTTATCTATGCAGGGTCATGCACGATACAGTACATGTATACGTCGGTCGATCAAAATTCATCTTATTTCCTGAAATCTGTCTATGAAACTGTAGTCCATATTAGGCTTATTAGTTTTTGTATTGTTAAAAGTTTATTTCGATACTGAAAATATCCACCGATATACTTTAAAAAGGAGTTGTGCACTCGATTCAACCGGCGACGCACGGCGTTGCTTCTAGGCCTAGTACATTTATAAAATAAAATTTCTGATTATTTCTTTATTAAGAAAAATTAAATCTATAAATTTAAAATATCAAAGAGCTTACAATATCTAAAGTATTATTTCAACAATAGTGATATTCGGCCATTAGAGAGACTCACAGAGAGAGAGAGAGAGAGAGAGAGAGAGAGAGAGAGAGAGAGAGAGAGAGAGAGAGAGAGAGATTTCAAAAATCATCATACTGGGAGTTACATTGTTTTCATAGTTTGTGTTTTTCTTGAAAATATGTAGCCCACATTTTAAAAATGCGTATGCACATACTACCTGTATCAATATTAATTTTACACTACAGATCCGATATCGTAAGAAAAATATCATCCTATGTCAGTGTGTGATGTACTTCGCTAGGCCTGCTTTGTAACAGGCCCTTAAGGGAAAAAGGGGGGGGGTATTTAATTGAACATGCAATAAAAAAACAAACCTCATTTACGGTTGAACCCATTCATAATTTTACCGATATATACTTCACAATAAAACACAAAGCTGTGTTACGGTGATTTTTCATAAGTAACACAAGAATTTTTTTTTTTTTTTTGGGGGGGGGGGGTGCATAATTTTTCGTTAGGCCCCAATCCCAACGGAAACTGCTTCCCCTGGCCTTAATATGTCACGCTGAATCTTACTATTTATTTTGTCCATGTAATGCGCAAAAATTTTTTAATGTGTGCAGCAAATAGATATATGCATGATGTTCATTAATTGTGAAAGTAATAAACATATTAAACAACATTAAAATAGTTCTGGTTTATTGACAGGAGCTTGACAGTCTCTACGCTGAGCACTTCGGTAGAACACCATGTACCACTCCAGTGGCATCACAAGAACTAAGTCCTTCTGACAGTGAGGAAGAGGATGAGAGACCCGCTAACATTAATGACAGAAAGAATTTAAACAGCGAGGAAGAGGGAAGTACATATACAGGTGATTTGCTTGTATTGACTGATGATGAAGACATTATTAGAATAAGAGATCTACAAAAAAAATGTTGTAAACACAACTGCATAAATAATTTCAAGATATATCAAATACTCTCACATGTGTTCGATGTCAAAATGCAGAAAGATGAGAAGGTACATAATTTCTCTTTTGATGACAATGTAAAACTAAAATAGGAAGAAAAGAAAAGATCATGAATATATTTTTGTGGAAAAAAGTTTGCAGAAAAACATTTTGATGCTTTTGATATTGGAAAACAAGCTTTACAGAACATAAGAGATCACATGAAAAAACATGGACCAACGCCTCGGAAACATTAATATTTTTGACACTTTGAAATTTGAAGACATCAAAGCTGCTCATCAATTTATACAGAGTCTTGCAGAAGTGTGAAATAGGTTTGCCCCAGCCAGCAGCTCCTCGAGGACGAGATAGCTACCCCCCATATATATCCCTTCTGACGTACGAAAAAATATATTCATAGTAAGTAAAACTAGCTGTGATTCAGTAACATTTGCATTTTTCTACATTTTGCGGGATATGGAACATTGTTTCTGTATCAAAATTGCAAAACGGGATGATGTGTGCGCTACCTTGAAAAGTTCAGAAAACATTTTAATAGTATAGAAGAAAAAATGTTGACCAAGATGCAGAAACATATAACCCATGCTCAAGAAGAGAGAGCTCTTTATAACAATTGCATCAAAGATGCGCTTGAGAACGGTTCTCGACATTTCACTTTTGATTTCAGTCAGAATGTAAACATACCTCATCATGCTCGTCAGATGGGGCCACTATATTTCCTGAGTCTTCGCAAAATTCAAATATTCGGTTTTCGAATAGATGACATCCCAAAGCAATTAAATTTTTTAATTGATGAAAACGAAACAATAGGCTGTGATGGTTCGAATACACATTACCAGATTTTTTTCAATGATTTTTCATTTTCACAGTACGGAACAGATGACAGAAAAATCACAATCATTATAATTGCTCAGTCAAAACAAAAAAGTATGTGATCGGATACCTTATGTGGCGTATTATCAACAGCAAGAAGAAATTACGTATATGATGAAAAGTTCCGGTACGCGCTGTATCATTTTTTGCTTTAATCAAGAAACTTTACAGAAGAAGTGACTGCGATTCCATTGATCAGCTTGAAAGAATTGTAGAGCAGTCCTCAGTTGCAAATTCGGCTGTCCGGTATCCCACATGGCAGTGGCGAGAATAGGCTTTTCTCCTTTAAACCTCTGAATACGAAGTACCACCATTTTTGCTTTAAATGTAAATATATATATTTTTTCGGTTTATCAGAAGAAATAAAGGTATATTAAAAGACAAAACTGTGTATTTAACCAGATAGACCATATTTTAAGCCCACCGGTCTCTCTTTCGCAAAGTACTTGTTTAAGACCATATTTAAAAAAAAGATATACCTGTCCATGAATATGAATAAAAAATAATGACAAAGAAAATAAAAGACTATTTATATTATAATTATTTCTAAACAATATTTGAAAAATTAAATTATGCTGTTTTATAATCAAATTGACGTGTGCAATGTTAACGTCATTTTGTTAAAAAAAATTACGTCGTCTGACGTTATTTGTATAAACATTAAAACATGCTATGTTCAAGCAGGTATATCTTTAAAACTATCGCAAATAAAATGCTCAAATTTTCACTGTGTGTCCTAAATTTGTTGTAGATTTGAAATATACAAAAAAGTCAATTTCGAAAATTTTGTCATTAAGACCCCTTTTCACAGAAAGGTCCATATATATTTTTGACTTTATCACATTCAGGTACCTTATCAGACATCTTTAGTTGACTAATTTCGATTTTTGACCCTTCTGTCAACTTTGTAATCTGCCGTCTTTCAGTGATATTTCCATCGTCTTTCAGTGACCTTTCCGCCACCTTTCAGTGACACTTAAGTCTCAATGCAGCGATTTTTTTTCACTGGCTTATCAGTTTTTAAGCAGATATCTTTCCTTAATAATACTTTTAATAAATTTATTATCTGTAATTACGGTTATAGTATCAATTGTCTTAATGTGTTTCCTAAATTGGTAAACTTTGATTATAAATTTTGAAAATGTCTAAATAATTATTATATTTTTATTAAAAAAATGATACTTATTCAAAATGATTTTTATATTTCAAATTATTCTTTCAAAAAATCTTTAAGTGATAAAATATAATGATCTGGTAGGCAAATCAAAATTTAATTTAGTGTCGTATAATTTCGCCTTATTTTTTCCCTCTGTTAATCTCTAAATCGGTGATTAATATTCAATTTAATAAGCTATTAAATGAATAAGAAAAAAATAGAGGATTTCAGTCAAAATAACTCCTTCTATGGTCTCTTCATTTAGGCATTTCCTTTTTTGTATTTCTAATGCAAAAATAGTTTCCCTGATATTCACAATTCAAAAGAATCTTTAAAGTAGGAAGTATTTAGGAACATTCAGCATAGGAATTATGCATTTTAACCAGTTTTTACATATTTTTCATAATACTGTTTTCAAAAAAAGTGCGATTTTTTAGGTTCACATACACGTCTGTTTATTTATGTTTCGCATCTTAAATAACATGGTGACATATACATCTTTTGCAATAATTGGAAAATTTAAAGTACATAAAATTAAAAAAATGCAGTTTTTGTATTTGAACAATAAAATTATGAGGGCGGAAACACTTTAATGTAAACAATGAAAAAAAATGTTATCTTATTTTTACAGGTCAAATATTGATTTCATTTTTCTTATGTCAATCTACATGTAACACATTCTACAGTGCTTAAATTTTTTATGGAAATATCTAGTATTGAATAATGAGACAAAAATAATATTATTTACTCCTTTTCTGGAATAACTTTGATGTTATATATTTTGTTTCTTACATGTATTTGTCAAAACCGCAGGATATTTTAGCTTTTGAAATACATCGTTTTAACTATATTATGAAAAGAATTAATCAATGATATATACCTTTTGTGGAAGAAAAAATATCGTACTAGATTTTTTAATGATTTTCTTTAAAATCATATTTATTTACTTATTTTCTAGATAGAGAATTTACAATGATCTTAAATTTTTGACACAAGAAAAGTTGTCCGTCGCTGATAATTGGCATCATACCGATAAAAAGTGTGTAATTAATCAGTCTGTCCCCAAAATCCCCGCAACTAACATAGAATATACAAAATATATATAAGAAATACCCACATCGCAGCCACGTAGCATCGTTTTTTGAAAATTGACTAACCTGAAAAAGTTTACAAGCCAAAAAAAAAAAAAGAAAATGAAAGTGCTCTCCAGTGAAAATTTGAAAATCCTATACAGGGGAAGGGGTTGGGGGGTTGGGGGGTTGGGGGTTGGGGGTTGATAAAACTTCTTTCAGTAACATTTGTTAAATATATATATCAACTTTTTAATGTATCAACTATGGGGGGGGGGCAAACAAATGAACATTTTCAATATTAGTAAAATTAAAATTGCACAATTGATTTCAAAAGATGTTATCGATTTCTACAAATTGATGGATTTTAATTCCTGAAATTTAAACAAGGAGTTTTAGCGTAATCACAAGGTCGCAGACTTTTAAGCTGGATACCATTAAAAGGATTTTTTTTTTTTTTGTTTTCATTCGTAATTGGATAAATTATAATATTATACCAGAAAAAAGTGGAAAGTGTCGATGAAATGTATGTGCCATTCATTCAACTGAATGGTAACTGAATGATCACGGAAAAGTCACGGTAAAGGGTCCTTTCAGTGACCTTTCGTGCATTCTCGGGAAACATTCCGTACTGAATGGTGTAATTTCATCCTGTACTGCCGACCAGTCACAGCTGCCGTGTAAAAAATATATATTTTATTTTTAATGTATGAATCTATCAACAAATAAATCAATTAACGAATAAAATAAATAAATGAATTTAAAAAAAATAAACAAATTTATATTTTTAAAAATAAATAAATAAATAAATGAAAATAAATAGATTGATAAATGAATAAACAGAAAAATACATAGGCAAACAATCAAATAAAGAAAAAAAATACATTCGTGCATAAACATATAGACTTACCATGTTTGCACGTTTCTTGCAAAGGTATTGTCTGAATTTTTATTTATATAGAGGAATAGCCTTATTAGAACACTACCTACTAATTGATTTTGAGAAGCCTGTTAAATGTGTCGGAAATACATATTTCAATATTAATTTTACGCTTTCGATGAAACAATACCAACACCTACATTTAATTAAAAAAACCTGACAGCGTATCAATACTACGAACGAAAAATGCAATTAATTAAAAATGCACTTTAAACATAACAAATTCTCTCTTTTTGTCGCTTTTAGTGTTATAAACACGTCATATCTGAGAAAAGTAATTTAAAATATCTTTTGGAAGAACTTTTAATTCTGCAAGTGGTAATCCAACTTGCAGAATTAAAAGCTCTTCATAGGTTTTTCATACTAATTGTTATTAATTGAATTGAAGACAGATTTTCCCGTAATTTCCCAATCATGACAAAGAGCATACCGCGGGTGTGACCGGTCGGCAGGGGATGCTCACTCCTCCATGGCACCTGATCCCAACTCTGATCTTTTGGAGTTCTCTCTCTGCACTGCTCCTGTTTTTTTTTTTATTGTTTTATGGACTTTTGATCTTGAATACTGTTGGCTATCCCTAAAAATCTCTTATCCCCTAATAATAATTACTAATTACATTTGAGATTCTAAATGACATACCACTTATCACTCACACAAAACATTGACATTAAATTGAATAAAATACTATTCAACATGATTTTTTTTATTCATGAGGGATCTCTTATATATGTAGACATTTTTTGTTTGTTGGTTGTCTTTTTTTATTGTATTTTAAATACTTTTTTCCTGTTTGCTTTTTTTGGGTTTAGAAACAAATATGCTTCATATACAACAATAAACAGAAAACACAAGTACAAACTCTTACAAAACAGAGAAGATACTGGTGGACCTTACATACTTTAGAACATTTATTAACAATAATGGTGCGTTTGGAGTAGCGAGCATTGAAATTTTGGACACACTATAGATTCGCGCAAAAAATATAAAAAAAACTTAAAATATGGGCTTTCATTTACATGCATGATCGTTAGTCTTTAAAGCAAGTTGAATATATCTCTCCTGTTTGTTGGAAGATTTTTCTAAACTTATCTCCATACTTTTACTTTAACCTTATTTTGACTGATTTATCAGGAAAATGTACATATTGGCTACCTTTTTCCTTGCTGAAAATAAGAGCTTTTAAAGTAAAACATCCATAACACAGTATAACAATTTTCGTAATAAACATCAAGTAATTATTGAGGCGGGGTGGGGTGGGGGTGGGGGTTGGAGGGCGGTGGTCGCACATCTACTTTTCCTTAAAAAAAAATTACATACTGGATTTTGAACATTGTACATGTATTTCTTCCCACAAAAAAATGTAGGCAGTCAGTTTCAACAACAATACATGTATATAGTTTTGGAAATCTCCCGTCGGTGGTGGCATAAATTTATTTGCCGTGCTTCCACAGGATTTCATCTAGTGTTTATTTATTTATTCGAATCCCTGGATCATTTATTTTCCGGTAAAACTTTCCGTATTCTTCTCTCTAACATCAAGACTGCGCGACACAGATTTGAGATTCAGAGGTAAACCAAACGCTAGGTATATAAATATGCCAAGACCGCCGTTAAAAAGTGTATGCAACATGGAAAATAATTGTAATTCAGTGAACTGAGCCAGAAAACCAAACATCCATGCAACACCAACGAGGGTAGAAAGCCGGAAGTATGCACCTAATCTACTTTTATCCTTTGACTTTCGTATATCAGCCTTTACACAAATCCGTGATAATGTCACAAGAAACATGAAAGAATTGATAGAGATGAATAATCCAACCGGAAGTGCAAAAGTAAAGAGGATCATGTTTGGGTTAGCAATGTAGCACGTGCGAGGGGAGTAGCCAAGACTCCCCCATTCACTTTGGACAGAGCTTACAATGACATTGACAGCAACTATTGCCAAACATAGAACGGCATCAATCAATAAGAAAACTAATACCCTTGTACTGCCTTTCTTCTGTACAGTTGATATAGTCGTAAACGTTTGAAAAATTTGAAAGGTAGATAAGCTCATCCAACCTATGACAGAAAGCCAGAGGAAATGAACCAGCATGCCTATCCCAATACACAATGACTCATTCCAAAGAAAAAACTTGGAGAAAGTGTACACTGTATTTGCCAAAATTGACAACACAGCTAATGTAATGATATTGATATCTGCAAATGATCTGTGGGATTTATCGAGAAAAAAAGTTAGAATAGTAACCAGAGAAGCAATGGAGGAAAGAGAGAGACATGTAAGTGAGAAATACTTCATTAAGAGGTTTTCTGAAATTTCCCTTTGACTGTTTGCTTGACTGATAGCTTTAAGGTACTCATCGAGACATATTTCTACACTGCGCTTATCCTGAGCCTCTTTGAACAGATTCGAAGAGAAGCAGGCTTGATAGTCTACTAGACATACAGCAAAGTGTGACACATTTAATTTTGCGTCTGCTGTTTTCACTTTTACTTTAGGACAGCGATACCAGTCAGCTACAAAGATCACCATATCATTTTGGAAACAAAGAGGTCTTTCGGGATCATACTCATAAAAGTTTAGTTCTGGGGCACCCTGGTATAAATACATTTTATCTTGACTCATTGGGTTCATATAGAAACGGTTACGAATATTTGTACCAAATAAAGAATTGCCGTGTATATGAAACCTTTGCCCAACAACAGAAAGAGTGACATTTACTTCGCTGTTTAGAGGTGATAGAAGTACCGCCATTTTCTGTATAGAAAACACATTCCTCAACCTCTGTATCATAATGTCAACGTTATGATAATGGTCTACCGAGAGTTCAACAACAATTGCCAAGAAATCTGGTTTTAACGGAGTCAAAATTGAAATCCGACAGAGGAAATCAGTCAAATTGTTAGTAAATATGATGCCTGCAATAACTGATTCCACATCCTGTAAATTGTATTCCCAATTCGTCCTGTTGGAATCTTCTAGAAAAGTGAGCATTAGATTCAATTCGTAGTTGCTCTTTCCAAGCATCGGGTAACGAAGTTGGCAGGTTGAGTTGTTGTAAATGTATTCCGGTTCACATTCAATATTCAGACACTTGGACTAAAATAGATAAGACAAGGTTTTAGAAATAGAAAAATCAGCATGTTGTACAAATAGAGCTAAATGTAACTTCAAAAATAAATCAGCTGTAAAAGCGGGCCTCGAGACTGTGAACTTTATGTCTTCTTTTTCTGTTGTCTGCTTTTATCCAGAAGAAAGAAATAAAAATTTCCAAAGGAGAAAAACGAAAAAAAAATATACCAATCGGTACATGTATTATGAGACAATATATCATTAAATCTTATGTTTCATTATCAAAAACAAGAAAACTTTAACTGAAAATTTTAAAATTTGTAATTGATTTAAAAAAGTATGTAGCTATAAAGCAGAAAGACAAAAATTGAAATAAAACATACCATCTTTCTGTCGAATACTTGATTTGTTGCGCAATTAGTGTCTTTTGTGTGCACTTCATTTTCAGTTTGTTTGAAATCCATCAGAGCGGAAAAGGATGAAAGCATAGAAGTGATGAATCCTGCTCCGCCTACGTCAATTTGAATCGTAAGATCAAAGACATCTATATCACACAGGGCACAATAGATGTTTTTATAAATGGCATTGGAAGTTCTGTAGGGTAAGTAGTATATCTGGCAAGCGTCAAGGAGAAGAACCTTTGTTTCTTCCGTTAGTCCATGTAGTTTGTTACAATTAGGGTGAGTTTGAGCTGTATATTTTATACATGGATTTATTATCTTTTGAATGGACTTTGGAGGATGAAATCCAATGTTGCAGACTGGACTCTTTATCGAAAACACAGATTGGTAAAGAGTTTCAAAGTTATCATTTGAAAAAAGCGCCGATCGATTCTTGCAAATTTTTTCCCTCTCCCAAGGAACCATATCAAAAATTGATTCATTGTTGCATAATGAGCACTGTAGATTTAGATACGTTTCATTGGTTATCAATGACGTCACTGGCGTAGCATGGGTGATATTTCTAGATTGGGGTGACAAGCAAGTAGCACCACTTTTGCATGTATCAATCATCCAGTAAGATTTATCAAGTGAGATGCCTGTGTCTTTATTCCATAATGGCTCAAGACAAGACAAAGACTGACCCTTTTGTTTTCCCTCTTCAATTGGCATGTATTCAATGAAGTCTGGAATGGTTGCTTGTCTGTAGAATTTAGAAGGACAACAAGTGGCTTTTCTCACACAAGAATCTTCACAGTCACATGGTGTACACGATGGATGTAGAGTAAAAGTATAGTTCCGTCTAAATTTTTGACCAAGACACATATCTTGTTCTGGGCATAGCAAAAGGTAATTCATGAGCAAGAATTTTGCCTCTCTGTTTTCGATCCATGAGGTTAGATTTTCTGATTCAATGATTTCGTCAACAGTTGGAGAGAACGAATCCTCCAGAGACAAGAATCCCCCTAATGCTATACCAACTGCTGAAGTTATGAACAAAATGGAAATCTATAAAGAAAAAATAAATAATGAAGAAAATTATTAATCATATAAAGATATTACAATAACTGTCGTAGTTTTTGATAACTTAAGCAAGGTGTAAATCGGTTGGAAAGCGGTTACGCTTTGAATTCAGCTAGCAAAGCATACAGTTTTGAAAGGAATATTTTGTGAAGGACTTCTTGTGATGATTAAGCTGAGAATATTGTTGTCTTGGAAAACATATCCAAATCGGCAGTGTTTATGTTTGATAATAAAAAGGAGGAATTTCGGTTAGAAAGGTATAGATGGAGTCACCAGTCCGAGTCACCTAACTTAAAATCAAGCTAAACTTTATAAACATAAATAAACATTTGGCAATATATTCTATCTACGATACCAGTAAGGTATATTTAATATGGCGCAGAAACAAACAATGATGGACGTGCGCTTGCCAGAATGTAGCATTTATCAAGTGATATTTTCAAGCAGATTTCCAGATTTAACAATATAGAAGTTTAATGAAGAAGAATTTATTGAATTGTAAAGAAGATTCAGCGTTCAAAATGAAATTAAATATCTACAGGAAAATATGACTCACATCATGACCTATGACCAGTGTAAAACTTGCAGATTTGAAGATATTTGCTCTCTGCATGTTCATATAACAGTAAAATACCACAACTGTAAATATAAGATATTGTTCAACTCACCTATTTACCCCAAGTAATAGACAGTTCGCTTAAAAAATATTAACAAACAACTTTCCATTTCAAATGCAATTTAAAAAAAAGATTTCTTGAAAAAAATCTTTAAAAAGCCTAAATATTCAAAACAGATAAATAAAATGTATTTGCCCTAAGAGAAATATTAAAAAAAAAAAAACAAAACAAAAAAAAACGTGGCATTAAGTAATTTTCCCACCTCTTATTTTTAAGTGATTTTTGATAATTTAATATTAATTCACTAATTTAAATTCATTAAAATTTCTTTGTGAACTTACAAATTTACAAAAAAATTATTCAATTTTGATGATTTCGAGGTAAGAAGAGACCCATCCATGTGTGCTCTAGACGAATTGTTATTTTCATATTTTTCATATAATTTTTACATATAACTTACCTTTTGTATAGTTTTTGTGGTATAACTTAATCTTGAAATTTTAAATTACATAACATACCAATGTAAGTCATAAATAGATATTCAATACTGTAAAATCACATATTTTCGTGAGGTCAAATTTTCTTGGTTTGAGAAAAAAATCTTCGTTCGTGGGGATTTGAATTCGTGTATTAAGAATTGTTGAGAAGTTAAGTATACATGTATAATATTTTACATTTCGTGGTGGACATGAATTCGTGGGTATCTTCACACCTCGAAATAAACGAAAATTAACCCCCCCCCAACGAAGATATGTGATTTCATGGTATTATTTTATAAATAAACTAGATGCTGTCATGAGACAGTAATACCCGCACTAAGGTGTTTGCCTCTAAATACACACCCCTACATATTGGGCGGCTTCCCAAGGAAAAAGTCAAATTAAATAATTCTATAATTTACATGTATTCGTCTAATTGAGTATGAAATTCTCAGACCCTGTGACCTATGACTCAGAACCTCTTATATTTATTTTACATGCTTAATTCATTATATACCAGTTTGAATTTAATTAATGATGTAAATTAGATTTTGACAAATGTTTTGCTCATAATAGGACCTTTTTAAATTTACCACCCCCCCCCCCCCTCGACGCCACAATCACACAGCACATACTTTTGTTTAGAATAGGCTAGATGGAAAAGTTTTGTTAAAACATCATTTGTTATGAATTAATTTAAAATTTGTTCTTGTACTATACATGTTAACATGTAAACACCTTTTGGAAAATTTCTACATCACATCAGGTTGCGTCACTCATTATCATATTTTTAGATTAAACACCATTCGGCACACCTCGGCTGATTCCCGCTTCATCTGATAAGGTGATGGAATTGACGAAGGTTTTCCGAATGGGATAGCATTAGCACTAGCCTGGTCCCCTGGCTCATCCTTGCCAAGGCAGGACGCGGAGTATACGTAGCAAAACAGGGACAGGGAACCAGGCTAGCATTAGCACATGCTGCTTTCTGGTGTGCATTGGATTAATTCATTTTGTGTTATAATTGGATTATATTTCATGAAGTTGACATGACCTATGACAGTCGGTAAGTACAAGTTTAAGTATAGTGGGGGTAAAATAAACCCAAATGATTAGGTTAAAGTTCAAAAAGAGTCAAAGATCATCGCATGCCACACTAGAAGAATTTCATATTGTGAAGTTATCTCCCGTTGTCGATGTGACATTCAGTTACTGCCAATACTGGTGCAGATCCAGAATTTTTTTTCGGGAGTAGGGAGGGGGGCTCACATCTCAGTCAAAAAATTCCAGCCCAGAATTTCCTGACAAGCAGGAGAAAAAAAAATGAAAACAAATAAACAAAATAAAAACAACCAGATGCTGTCATGAGACAGTAATACCCGCACTAAGGTGTTTGCCTCTAAATACACACTCCTACATATTAGGCGGCTTTCCAAGGAAAAAGTCAAAATAATTCTATAATTTATACAGAACATGTATTCGTCAAATTGGGTATGAAATTCTCAGACCATGTGACCTATGACTCAGAACCTCTTACATTTCACATGCTTAATTCATTACCAGTTTGAATTTAATTAATGATGTAAATTAGATTTTGATAAATGTTTTGCTCATAATGAGACCTTTTTAAATTTACTAACCCCCCCCCCCTCGACACCACAAATACACAACACGTTCTTTTTATGGAATAGGCTAGATGGAAAAGTTTTGTTAAAACATCGTTTGTTATGAATTGATTAAAAATTTGTTCTTGTACTATACATGTTAACATATTAACACCTTTTGGAAAACTTCTACATCACATTGGGTTGCATCACCCATATTATCATATTTTTAGATTAAACACCATTCGGCACACCTCGGCCAATTTCCACTTCATCTGATAAGGTGACGGAATCGACGAAGGTTTGCCGAATGGGACAGCAACAGCACATGCTGCAGTCTGGTGTGCATTGGATTAATTCATTTTGTGTTATAATTGGATTATATTTCATGAAGTTGACATGACCCATGACGGTCGGTAAGTACAAGTTTAAGTATAGTGGGGGTAAAATAAACCCAAACGATTAGGTTAAGTTCAAAAAGAGTCAAAGATCATCGCATGCCACACTAGACGAATTTCATATTGTGAGGTTATCTCCCGTTGTCGGTGTGACATTCAGTTACTGCCAATACTGGTGCAGATCCAGAATTTTTTTCGGGAGTGGGGAGGGGGGTTCACATCTCAGTCAAAAAAATCCAGCCCAGAATTTTCTGACAAGCAGAAGAAAAAAAACTGAAAACAAATAAACAAAATAAAAACATGATAGTGGGGTCAATGTTTTCAAGTTAGGGGGAGGATGTCCAAAGTAATTTTTTGTTTGCTTCAGTATCTATAGTCTCATTTAAAAAACAAAGCAAACTCCAGCCGGGGGGGGGGGGGGGGGGGGATCCAATCTCCCTAGCCACTCCCTGTTCCTGAAATAACAATCTATTTTTGATTCCAATTAAATAGTAGATTTTTTCCCATTTGACTAATTATACATATTTTGTTTCTTGTGTTTATATTATGTCTGTCCGTTTGTCTGCAGAAACTTTAACCTTGTCCATAAGTTTTAAGTGGGACGGCCTATACACATGGCTTCCACATTTCATAGGTTTATTTCTTGTGACAAGACCTTTTATTGGGTACCATTAATTTTGACCTCTTGATCGCTTGACCTAGGATTTTTACACATTTTTACAAGAAAAATACCAAACTTTAAACTTGGCCTAATTTTTGATCAGTAGGTGCTAGGGCTTTCATGCTTAACATGTGTATTCATTGTGAACTGTCAACAGGTATAAATATGTTTGACCTCGACCCTAGCGTTTGAACCACTTAAAAAAAAACATTAACCTTGGCAATTAACTTTTGAACAGGAAGTACTAGGGGTTACTTATTTCACATGTATATTCCTTGTGACAAGACTTTCTTCTGATACCAACAATTTGAACCATTTGACCTCGACCTTTGAGTTTGACATATATTTGAGAAACGTCCACCTTTTCCATAGGCTTGCATACAGGGGCATCAGTGTTTCACAAACACATCTTGTCTTCATTATTATTTGGTGGTGTCTCCATATGAGGGAAAAATTCCTGAGAGAGATGTATTCACAACAAACAAACAAATTACTAAAGAAAATATAAAACATGAATATGTTGGTCATGCATATCTCTGCAAGAAAAAAAAAACAGCTTTTCAAATACTATAACCATATTGTAACCCTTTCAAAACACTCATTTGAGTTTTTTTATGGTTTCCTTATAATATAACGTCTGTTGTGACGTGTCGTCCATCTGTTTCTGAAAACTTTTTACATTTTTAACTTCTCTAGAACCACTGGGCCAATTTTATCCAATTCATATAGAAATATGTACATTTGTATGTCAGACTGTCCATCTGTCTCAATAAATTTAACCTTGGTCATCACGGTCATATCAACTGAATGAGAAGAGACAAGGCATTCATATTAAACTTATGTACTAGTATTTACCTGTGAGAATGGTATTGGTTTTTTTTACATGTGACCTAGAAGTTTGACCTACTAGCAAAAAAATTAAATTGTTATAAATTCATCATTTTGAAAGAGAAAAGTTAGGGCATTCATATTATAATGCATGTATATAATTACCTGTGATAAGACCTTTCCAAATAAATCATGACTTTTAACTCTGTGACCATGACCTTGAAGCCTAACCTAATTTTCAAAAATGTTGCATTTGCTTATAACTTTTGATTGAAAAGAGATATGACTCTCACATTTGACATGTATATCAATTACTCATAAGAATTCAAGATGATTCCCAGCATGCAATGCTTTTTTTTTACCCTTTTTTACCCTTTTTTACTTTTTTTTGACTTCAGGGAATACAGGACTTTTTGCATAAAAAATGTAATTTTTCCACCCCCATTTTACACCCCGGGGCAAAATCAAAATTCCGAAAACTTACTGCACATCTACATGACACCACCAACCATCTCCCAAAAGATGATTAGGCTACTGTGTAAAATGTAGGAGGAGTTCAGGGAAGACGGGGCTTTTTGCATAAAAAACGTCATTTTTCGACCCCCATTTGACCTCCCGGGGCAAAATCAAAATTCCAGAACCTTACTGCACATCTACATGACACCATCAACCAACTCCCAAAAGATGATTAGACTACTGTGTAAAATGTAGGAGGAGTTCAGGGAAGACGGGGCTTTTTGCATAAAAAACGTCATTTTTCGACCCCATTTGACCCCCCGGGGCAAAATCAAAATTCCGAAACCTTACTGCACATCTACATGGCAACACCAACCATCTCCCAAAAGATGATTAGGCTACTATGTAAAATGTAGTTCAGGAAGAAAAGTGTGACAGACGGACGGACGGACGGACAAAATGAGTAACAACAATATACCCGAACTTTCTTTAGAAAGTGCGGGTATAAAAATGGAGGATATTGGAGGATAATTTAGCTAGCAGCCTTGCATATTAATTTACCAGTCACCT